TAATTAAATTAAGTTAAAAGTAAACTTAAACGTAAAGTAAATAATAGTACGTAATAGACTACTAGTTAGTTTAACTTAACTACTAGAGAGAGTAGTATACTATATATATATATATATATATATATATATATATATATATATATATATCGCCGTAATTGGCCAGTGTAAGTTCACAAGGGCATCCAATAGAATTTACCTTATAATCGGGGGGGGGGGGAGATTAATTGCATTTTAAACCTTTCAAAAATGTGTATTTTGTATCATTTTCCCCATTGTTATACTGTGTTCTCTATTTCATTTGCCTTCTCCCTCCAAATTATCCTGACATTTTCAAAGTTCATTCTTATATGTTTTTTTTTAGAAAAAAGTAACGAATTTTAGTGCTTAGTATTCACATTTGTTTTTCTAACCAACATGTAATTAACATAACGCTAGAGATAATTAAATTTAAAGAGATTAGTTAATGAATTATGCAACTTGTGCGTGAGCGTAATAATTAAAGAACTGTGTTATATGTTGCCATGAGATGTAACGTATAACAGAATATGTGTGTTCGCGTCGGCTGAAGTCCTCTGATGGTTCAGTATTTAAATGTTTCAGCCATATTTGTATCAAATCTTAGACTGTAGGCTATAATGACTTTCAAAATATTTTTGTTGTTTAATTATCAACATTTATTGGGTGTTACTTAGCTGTTGTTTGAATTTTTAACTATGAATTATTCCTCAAATATAGTTGAAATGTTCCACTTTTACTGTTTATACGTTCCTAAATATGGTTGTATTATTATGAAATTATCGTAAATGATTTGGAGAAATAAGTATCGCGTGGCGTCAAGACTAACTAGTATTGTTCTATGTTACTTATATAAAGAATTCAGTATGAATTAAATTATTAAGTATTTGTAATTAAATAAAATTTTATAAATACATTTTGGTAACTAAAGATATGACATTTGGAGAAATATCGACAGGGTTTGAATATTTTAATGGTTTATAATAACTTTTAAATAGGTCTAAAAGTTGTGATAAAAAATCACATAAACTGCAATTTTTTTTTTTGTCACGTTCTCATTTTGTGCATATATCTTATCAATTTTTCTAAATACCATTTAAGCCGAACTGATAACTTGTGATATTAATCGCAACGCCTCTTGGCAGTGACTTGTGGGAGACAAAAGATAATTTTAAATGCTATTTAAAACAACAAAAACAAACAAACATCGCCTCTGATTTTGAATCCGAAATGGACAAATTAAGAACAATGTTTAAGAAAAAACACCTACAGTTTACGTGATTTTTTATCACAAGTTTGAGGCTAATTGGTTGATAATGCTTCGCTAGCTTTCGGCACGTAAACCACAACTTTTTAAATAGTTCGAATAATTTAGTAATTCCGGCCAACTTGAACAATGTTTAGTACATACATTCACACGGTTAGTTAACAGAGGGCTTTATCAATAAAGTTAAAGATTTTTAGAAAAATAGGCTTTTAATGAAAAAACAATAATAATAGTAGTAGGGGAAACCTATAGTGCAAAATTAAAACAGATTGTAAAGTTTATACAGATAAACTTTTAAATACACTTATTTCGCATGTTTTTGTAAGACAAATTTGTGTACTGACAGAAGGGTCGCAGTGAAAGTAATTTTAAACACACTTGTTTGCAAACTGTGTTTATTTTAATTCTGAATCGCCTGTGATTCAGCAGTGTGTCGTGACATTTTTATTTACTGTTATACCGTGGTGTTTAAATAATTCATTTGTCATACGTATAACCCTTTACTAACTGAGACTATATATATATTAAATATTTTAATTTATTTATCTAGGTATTTATAAAATATGAATAGTTTGTGTTTTGGTAACTAATAAAAGCACGAGTATGTTTTATTTTTGTACATTCTATCATTGTAAGTTATTTTAATTAATTGGGAATGATGTTAAAATACTACCATTACTATGTATTGTGTATCATTATTTTTCATTAATCTCGATCATGAAATATTGTTTTGTTTGACAAACTGTTGTCAGAAGGAAATTGTGATAAATATTTTATGTTTTTTGTTTGTTCCGTTACAGAACAGAAATAATGAATTGCTCAACGGATTTTCTAAAGTGTTGCACGTTCGTTCATTTTATAATTGTAATTTTAATTAGAAGTAGTCCTCAAGTAAATTATACAACTCAAGATGTCCTGATGAGTGTTTCATAGCATGAAAGTTTCATAGAGCGATGCTTTGAGTATTGTTTCTTTACCGAGGCAACATGTCCTTTGGTGTTCCTATCTATTGTTCTAATAAAGAAATTGCAGCACGCTGTTTTTTATGTCTCATTGATTTAACTAGCTATATAATAATAAATAAAAACGTTATGAAAGACAGGAGTTTCCTTTGAAACAAAGAACGAATTAATTGGCTTAAAACTAAAATCTAGCATTATAAATAAAATATCATGGTATGTGTGACTTGGGAATTGGTAGATTGAAATTTGAATCTTCGAAATTAAGAACTATTACACATTTAAAATTGAAAAATTCATTAATTACACGTAAAAGTATTTACAAGAAATGTCTATCGATTGTAAGAATCTTTCCAGGTTTAAAAAGTTGCGTTATCTCTTGATACAAATATTCTCAACATGTCGGGAAATAGATATACTGTATATTAAAATAAGCATGCCAATATTAATACTTAAAATGTTACTAGAATTGGATGATCAAGGTTACAACGTCAGATTCTTTGTATGAAACTGTCCTTCTCTTGTCGATTTGGAGGGTCAGGTTCATTTAACCTCTTCCTGCCCCAGTAGGCCAGGTGGTTAGGGAGCTCAACTCGCAATCTGCGGGTTTAAATTCCCGTCGACTAAACATGCTCGCCCTTTCAGCCGTGGGGGCGTTATAACGTGACGGTAAATTCCACTATTCGTTGGAAAAAAGTTGGCTGTGGGTGGTAATGATTAGCTGCCTTCCCTCTAGTCTTACACTGCTAAATTAGGAACGGCTAGTGCAGATAGCCCTCGTGTAGCTTTGCGCGAAATTCATAAACAAACAAACAAACAATCCTCCCCAGCACATGATGAATGATTCCTGAATCATATCAACTGAATTACTACAAATACTTATAGTTTACCTAGTCGACGCACTTACTCTGATCCTTTTCATGTCCATGTAGGTAATTAGAGTAATATTGATGTGTTAAATACACTGACGTTTCATTCATTTATGTAAAGTTCTACACTTCACGAACAATTCAAGATGTATTTTTTCATTAATTTTAAGTTTCTACTAGAGTATTTACATATATTCCCTTTTTAATGTTGTCACAGTAAACTAAAGCTATGATAATCAAGTAGTCTAGCATTAGGTGGTCTTAATTTATTTTTATTCGTTAAATATATATATATATATTAATTGGGGAGATGTACTTAGGGCTAACTTCATCAGGTATGCAGTTACGATGAAGCTTGTATAGTAAATCATTTGTATGCCAATTTTGGCGAACTATATAGGAGTCTATCGGTTAACGTTTCTATGTTTGCGTAATTGTACATGAATTTTGAGGATGTTGATCTTGGTACTTTGTATGCTGTTGTAAGTAATGATTTCTGTATTATTTGTAGTTTAGGTGCTATGTTTATCTATGCAGGTGATGCATATTCAATCACTGGTCGTATGTATGTTTTGTAAATTTTGATGTTATCAGCTGTTGCTACACTGTTTTTACTCGTTAGAATCCTGGCATAGTTCTTGCGTTGCCAAACTTTGGTTTTTATGTTGTTTAAATGTTTGATTCACGTTAATTTGGAATCATACGTTGGTCGTAAGAATTTAGCTGATGTCGTAGTCTGAAGAAGTGTTGCGTTCATATAGAGTTCAGGTGGGTCTTTTTTGTGGTTTGTTAGTTTTGCAAAAACTACTAATTGTTCTTTGGGACGTTTATTCAACTATTCTATTTAATTGATTTTGTAGATTTGTGACTGCAATTGATAAGGTGGGAGTACTTTCCCAGACTGCTAAATTGTCTGCGGATTGTTACGAGTACTCGTGATTAGAGGCATATTGTTAACATACATAATGAATAAAATGGGGCTAACCATCCCTCCCTGAGGGACACCTGCCTCAGAGGTAAATTACTCCGAGAAGGCTCTCTCAACATTGATTCTACATTTTCTGTTTTCCAAAAAAGTTTGATAGTCAGCAAATAATACCGCGTGACAGTTCAATTTGTAACATGCGGGACCTAAGGCCATTACAGTGTCGAATGCTTTCTCAATATCAAGGAAACATGCGACAGTGCTTTCATTTTTATTAAAGTTGTCAATGATGAATTCAGTTAATCTAACTAAATGATCGGTCGTTTGCTTGAATTTTCTGAATCCATTTTGTACTTTGGGTAGTTTAGATGTTGTCTTCAGAAATGTGGAGAGTCTGTTACTGAATACTCGTTCTAGAATTTTGCCCATGGAGCTAGCCAGGCTGATCGGGCGGTAACTATTTTGTTTACTGGCTGAATTTCCTTCTTTATGGAACATTAAGACATTGGATGTATCCAGAGTTTAGTGATAAATTAAAAAGCGCTGTAAGGTATCCAAACAATCTCTGAGTACCTTTTCAAACTAGGATGGCTTGTATGCCTCCTGGAGCTTTGTTCTTTGTAGCTTTAAC